TATATATATATATATATATATATATATATATATATGTATATCGCAAACGATTGTCCAAATTCAAAAAATCTTTGCACAACCAAATGATGCTGGTTCAAAAAACTGAGGAGGATCGAAAGGTGCGTCCGAGAGAAATTAATTTTGGCATTAGTATCTTGTATCTTAGCTATACCGTAAAACAATCTTTGAAACGAGCTTCTTGCAATTCGGCCTGCGTCATATATTCGCACGAGAGTAATTTTCCCGCGTGACGTAATGTTTCTACTTGTACTACCTAACTTAGGTTTCTAGATCGCGCGGGCGATAACGGCGATAAAAATGTCCTAGATTCCGCGGCTGGAATTCGCCATTTCACAAGATGCAAATCATCGGAGCATCGCGAATTGCGATACCGCCGTGTCGCGTGACAGCATCAGCTGTGGTCGATGTCGCGCTGGCACAATACGTTAATGCGACACATTGTTCGCCGCTACAAAAATTGCCCCTCGTTACACGCTCGACAAAGCCTGGGAAGCCCGCACGCTCTCTATCCGTTCTTCGTGATATCGCCGTGCCTACAGCGATCATCATCGATATATACGAAGCCAGTCATTCGGGGAAAAATCGAGAAGGAAGGGAAAAACTTTTACGAGTTTATTCATATCGCCGGTCCTCCGACCGGCGACCGAAATAAGCTCGGCAAAAAATTAATAAATGCATGTTTAAATTAAATTGTCTCGCTTTTACTTATCCTTCGTGGATATCGTGGATGAGGATCTCGCGGGTTCATCCCTTTAACTTTTAGGACACCTTCGGAGCCTCGGGGAGATATAAGCGTTACGGTATTACCGCGTAATCCGTTGCATCCCCCGTCGAGGGGGGGATGGCGGTGGCGGCTGCGGCGCCGAATCGGGTGGAAGCAGATGCACTCGTGAGCGGCCGGTATGAGAAAATGAATATTTGAAAATCCGTGGGTGGATGGGTAGATACGTACGATGACGGGCGCCGCTTTGCAGCCTGCGAATATCCCGGCAAACCTTCTAATCTCGCTACCTCTAATTCCGTCGTAAGAATCCCCCTCGCCCCCGCTCGTTCCCCCTGGCACCCACACGGAAACCGCGACCTAAGAAACGAGGATTGCTCGCGTGGAACATGAAGCGAATTTCGGTTTAGGCGCGAGCGAACTCGATATCACGGAAACAATTCGTGTCCCTGATTCGTTCCGCGACATTGTATTATTTCTTTAATTCATATTACGCTATCATATAATTATCAAGTCACTTTCTGTTAAATTTATCATCGGAAATCGTTATGGCTATTCGTGTTATTTCCATCGCGTTTAAATTTTCAATTTTTCGCATGGTACTCGAAACCTCCCTCGCAACCGATTCC